ATTGATGAGGAGGCTATTAGAACACAAATAGGTACCCAGAACTCTCAGCGTTGCTATCCGTCTTCACCTTTGTTCGGCAATTTTCTTTGAATCCATGTTCATAAATATCATTTTTGGGAATGGCCACTCACCGTAGTATGGTTATCTGTTGTTTGTACGTAAAATATTATTCCTGAAACAGAAACGCTATTCTGGAAGTTAGTCTGGAAATTCCGCCCGGATGTTACACAGATTTCGAGCCTCAAAATTCCTAATCTTCGGATTTGTGAGCGCTTCCAATCGGTCACTAAATGATGTTTCTGATTCTTCTCTTCAAGTAAACCAGTCAGATCCACGCTTTGTGCATGTAAGGAATAAGTGAAAGAAAATTGCCACATGGTCGTGTTTAAAACAAACTAGCCCATCTGATTAACTAGGAATTGTTCAGGAAATTAGCACCGGCTAATATTTCTATTGCGCATGTCTAATTCTGCGTGCTACACTATGACGTTTCATATAGTTTCATATAGTAGTTTTCCTATCCTCCACAAACTGCGTACTTTTCCCATACACACCCACTTCCCTCGCGAATATTCAGTCATCACGATTATGACACATTCACGAAGGTTGAGCATTAAAGTCACATGAGTTAAATGACTGATATTCATAAACAATGGCACTCGTGCATTGAATTATTTTCTACACACCTACTTATTTCTATGTATTGCCGTTTGACCAGTGTTCTAAGCTTCAAACTCCGTCATTCAGTCCACCTCCATCGGTTGAAAAAGGGCTGCCGAACACAATAACCACAACTGTTGCTTGACAGAGCAAACTCAGCGGTTGTGAAAATGAATTGCATTAATACCAGAGATTGGGATGCCCCATAAGTATTAATACAGAACCGAGTCTGTCTTGTGATGAAGGGCGCCCCCCTCCTCGTTTCTTGAGGTTATCATTTGATACCCAGTCTTGTTCTTATCTAACCAAAATAGAGGATTCTGATTGAATGGAAACGAAGGCTACATGATCTGATGGATCAATGCTTGACCGCTTTTCCGTATTGCGCGGTTTTAAGTCATCCATTTTTGCATAAAGATCTTTGGCTTTGTTCCCCTTCGATCATTCTGGACTGACCAGTTTTCATTTTTATTTACCATATTAGGTCCTCACCGTTTTCACTGTAGTATATGCTCACGTTTCTTCGGCCTATATTAGTCAATGTTGTTCAATTTGTGTTTATTTTCTATTTCAATAATCAGTCAAAGCCAACAGATGAAAACGGTGCCGAAGACGAGAAAAAACGGCTCCCAGAGGAAGTGGTAAGTTATCCCAACTGCAAAATTGTTTCTCCAAGTTTAACAGGTACCTACTGGAGCATATCCAGTTGGTGCAATTTTCCATAGCTCATTTCTCCAGCATCACAAGCGGTTTGCGTTCGTCGCTGGATTCGGTCTGTACTATTTTGTTCATTTCCTGTTGTTCTATGCGCACTGAAACCTTGAACGGTAGATTCGAAAGTTTAGAATAACTGTTTTTCGCCATATTACGGTAATAGGAACTAGACCACATGGTCACATCCTCACTTGTCATTCTACAAACTGCAGATGTGTTAACCTTTGCTTTTTCAACGTCTACTAATATCATCGGAGTTTCTTCGAGGGAAAAATTCCATACTTCTAAAGCCCGTTTCTCGCAGTCAATCTATAGAACATGAACTACCAAATATTTCATTTAATATATCGTCAATCGAACAGCAGGAAGCCACCTTGGATTCCTTTAAACTTTGCCAATCTATAAATTTATTCAATTCAGTAGCAGTCATTGTTTTACATAAATTACTGCTTACTACTCCCGTAAAGGTTAATTTCCGATGAGCTATGAGGGAAATCGCAGTATTTGTCGGATTCTCATAATCTCAGGTAACTATTGTGAATTGTCTCATCTGATCTGTTTAAATTGTGAATGGGTTTAATGCCAAGGATTCAGTATACCCTGAATATCTAGTAGTTCGTTTAGTCTGAAAAAACGCATCTTTAAAATACACAGTGTTCATTCAGACCTGGTTAAAATTCGTTCTGATCTCTGCTCTAGATGGTAGTGGGCTGACTTTCATCAAAGTGTTTGCTTAACCAAGTAGCGTATGTATTGGATAGGGTCCCTATACAAGAGTAAAAGTGCTAACCTAATTTACTTTCGATGTAGTCATGTTTGGTGACAAACTGAATATGTAATGTGATCTCTAATGTATGTACTATGGATGCCAAACCTGAACACTCCTAGGTAGTGACCATTCCTCCCCCTCCCCGGTCCACTGGCTACGATTTTCGTAACACACTACTTTTGTTGTTACCAGCCTGTTATCAACAGATGATTGGATTGACTAGTTTTTGTTCGGGCAGGTAGGTCCCGTGAAAGTGTTAGTTGCCTTAGACAATTGCACGCAAAGTTTATCCGACCAACCAACTTCCATTCTGCGTGTTGTGCACGCTATCTACGAATCGGAGACACCTGGGAAAGTGAGATAAAACTAGCTGTGAGGGTTTTCATCTCAGGGGCTGTATTCAAGCTAAACACCGTAGCTCATCATTTAAATTAGTGTTATAACCGTTCAAAAAAATTTCTAATGCATCTTGAAAAGAGGCAAAACTATGGGAAAACGTCATCCTCATTTTAGTTGTGCTCCCCTAGTTCTATTCCTCTTGTGTGTCCTCGCAACTGTATGTCCTCTCAACAAACCGTTCATATTTGACAATCCTACCCATATATATTTGCATTCTGTTTTTTTGATGGTCGTTTCTTCTGTTTCTTGATTTTAATCTGAGATTGCAACAGAATCCATCTCACTCAAATAAGAAATGATCGGTTAAATATTCGAGAACAGAATCTGATTCAGTGCCTCATTGAATTAGTCTGAACATTGTTCCCTCTGCTCACATCCTACATTGCCATCAGAGCAAAACAGTCAACATTTCTTCTTGTAAATTCACCTATTACTGCCATTTTATCTTTGGATTGTCAACCATTGATAGTTTACTTGCTAGTTCTTGGTTTGTACCGTGATTCGTTTTTCTTTTTTTTTACAGTCAGAAAGCCAACCGGCAACTTCAGCGTCGACGTAAGTATAGACTGGTCATTTGTACGTCAGATTTTCTCATTCTCGCGGTTTGTGTGCGCGCGCGAAAGAGTTCCGACGAGGGATGACTATACATAATCATCGGAGTTTGTTATTTCGGTCTCAGTTTAGTCCAAGACACGCACGGGCGGTTTAGTAAAATATTTCCCCCATAGATTACACTGATATACTGAATAAATTTATTGCCATAAATCGCTAGAGAGACCAAAAAACAGGCAGTTTATCGATTTCTCCAAGAGCCCACGGACTGATTCGGATGAGATTTTTACTTACCTCCATGGTGCTCACTGTACTTGCGTGTCACCATGGTATCCTTGAGCTGTTATCGTTGCTTCTGACGAGTTTGTTATGGGATATAAAAGGTAGAAAACACTAGAACCGCTAAAGTGCGAGGCAAAACATGGTCGTGAATGGGATCCATTTCAAGACAGTGAATCGAAATTGAAATATTGGTACTCCCGTTTATTTGCAATGGACAATGTTGCATAATGACCGACAAGGAGTTTTGCCCTCATCGGGACCCGTCAACAGTGCGAACCGTTTGTCACCGCAGACACTCGAACCGCAAAGCTTCCGGTTGGAAACCCTCTCTGGTCGTCAACCAACACTTCAGGCGAATGAAGAGATTAGTGCAAATTGTTATTTTCGGATGAGTTCATTCGTTTGCCATGTGCACTATCTTTTGATCAGATCCCTACACGTTGCTGGCACTTGCATTACTGCTCCAATTATTCGGTGC